GAAAAAAAAAAAAAAAAAAAAAAAAAAAATTCAGACAATGCAAATTTTATTACACAAGGATTCATTCAGACAATGCAAATAACGAACCATCAGGAAGCTGAGGTTTAACGAAAGCTCTAGAGGTGGAAGGTGATGGTTTCTCTAGCTTCTTGGTGAGTGCTTCGTTGATTCGTTTCCGATCGATTGCTCCTCCGCCGAGGATCTCTGATCTCGACGACCCACTACGTTCCTTGTACATAATTGGATTCACTTTAAGAAGAAAACGACAGAGGATTCGAGGTTGGATTCTCAAAAGTGTCGAGACTTTTTTGTGAAGGTTGAGTTGAGTAGGAAGACGGAGAAAACTAGGGTTTTCCTCTTTTTATTTTAATTTTAAATTTTAAATTTTAAATTTGTATAATTCTGGTGACAGAGTGGAGGACAGAACATAGGAGATGTAAAGATTGTTTCCTCTTCTTCTCCACTGTTTGATTTTAATTTTCCCTTGTTTTTCCATTACGGGCTTCTTTGATTGGGCCTGGCACTATAAAATGGGCTTTATGAATTTAACTGGATTAAAAATAATATTTCGAATGTGGTGTTTTTATCAACACAATATCGTCACCCAAACATGATTTTGGGATCTAGGAATAGCTTTTTGCAAAACGGAGCCTTTGTCGGAGAAAGTTGTGATGCCTTATTCCACCGACTTTTGACAATTTCCGAGTTTTATAGTTTCGAAAGTTTTGTATTAACTTTAATTGTACTAAATTTAAGAACCCTTTATGCATTAAACGTAAAAGATGTAACAGTTGAATGTCTAATCGCACGAACAAAAGGAAAAGGCAATTTACACGCGGGTCGACTGTAGCTCAGCCATAGGAGTCAATGGTATTGGCCCACGTCTCATGAAAATGTCGTCAATGTAGCACTTACTATGTGATTAAAGTTTTGTAAAACAACATAATTACTTCTAGATGGGAATCACAAAAAATGAACAAAAGTGGACATAAGAAAATTTCGGGTGTTTAAAAGATATAAAACTAGCTAGATTGAAAGAAAATTTTGATTAGATTTAATTACCTATTTTTTGTCCTATTTAATCAAATTAAGGCTTCGAATGGAATGTAGATAAAATAAATATGCATATCAAACTAGTTAATTAGTTTATCGAATTAGTTTATTTAGTCGAATGCTAAAAATTAAAATTTATTAAATTAAATATCTAAAAATAAAAATTATTATATAAAAATACTAAGAATTATTTTTTAATAATAACAAGAAAAAATAAACAATAAAATGTACATTTATAATATACAATCAAATTGAAAAATTAATTAAAATGGAGCATTTTTATTTACTCATACTGTATTTGCAATCATTTTTCTTAACGTTTGCTATAAGATTTTTTTGTCCCGTTTTCATTTTTTCCCTATCATATTATGTAGCTATAAAAGTAGCATTGGGAATCTCGGCAAAATCTTCATCAGAAAATTTTGAAATTCTTATAAAATAATGTAATCTCATTGTTGCTGTTACCACTCTTTTTCTAAACATGCATATCATATCTCGGGAATTCACAAATAATCCTCAAATTTTTCTTTCAAACTCCAAATGTTATCTCAATAACAAAACGTAAAGATGCATGATATCGATTAAATAACTCATGTTTGTTTTTTCAGAGGAAGACCACTTTCGAACTTTGACATATGATACCTAACAACCTTGTTGCATAAGACTTATAAGGTGTCCAAAATTTTTGATTATCTCGATAGCCAGAGTCAACAAAATAATACCTATCGACTGGAGATAAAGGAAAATCAGAATTATTGTCTTACGCCATTGTGAAAACTGTTATATTGTGACATGAACTGTTGGGCATGATCTAGTTATTCGGATTAGAGTGCTTAGGATCCATTTAGGAATCAATTTTTTTTAAACGAATCAGTCCAAATAATTAATTTTGGGTTCAGATCTCTTTTTTATAAAACCTGAAACATACTGAATTAGAAAGGTTTTGATTTACTTCAAGTCTAAAACAAAAAAAACAAAAAACCGTTGAAAATCCGAGTTAAAACCCTAAAAATATTTAAGTAACTCAGATGTGTTGGATAATTTCTTATTTATAAATTATAAATTATAGCTTTTTAAAATTAAAAATAATTAGTATTTTATTATATTTTGGATATTTGGTTATTTGTTCAGTTTTTATTTTTCGGATATAAGTAAATAGTACATGTTTCAGGTTTTTGTAAATTTTGTTCTAGTTTCAGTTTCATTTTTTTGGCTATGTTCGGTATGATTTTTGGGATCAAATAAAATTCCCAAGACTAATTTAAAATAAAAACAAGAAATGAAAATACTAAATTATATTTTGATTTTTTTTTGTAAATGAGATATATATATATATATATAATAGAATTCTATAGTGAAGTTGTATATATTTTAGATGATACAAACCATGCATTACTATTTTTCGCAAATAAGTTATATTAAAATGGTAATATGTAAACTAAATATATACTATTTTCTACACCAGTTTATAGAAAATTAGGTATAAATACTACAATACATAGTTATATATTATTTTTATAAATATTTTAAAAAAATAATTATAATATAAAACGAAAATGATAAAAATAGAAAAATAATTATGAAAGATTTTTTGTTTTGTTTGAAAATAAATGAAATGAGATAAATAAACTATTAAAAATAATAAAGAGAAAAAGAAAAGAAAAACTACATGATTGGCCATCTGCATTTCTCCTACCTCTTTTCTTTATTATTTTTGCAGATCAACAAATCTCTTTACCATAAAAATGTACATGCATATTGTGCTGTATATTAATAATCCCCTTCTTATTATTTGAGGAGAACTTTTGAAAATAAACCTTTACTTCATGTGTTTATTACAAGCATGCCATTTGTTATGTGGCAACTCCACAAGCCTTCTTACCTCTTTAAACTAAAAGACCTTAGTTAACTAGAGTAATTACACAACATGCCATTGATAAAATCATTTAGTGTGACATGATATAGAAAATATGGTGTTGTTGATCAAACCATATACGTATAGAAAATATATCGTACAAATCATTCTATATGATATAACGGTTGAATAGATAGAAGGCAATAGGCAATGGCACGTATAAGTATTAAAAAACACATGCATATAGAAGGGATTTTGTACGATATATTTTATGTATATATATATATACATTTACAGTGTGATATAAAACATGCATATAGAATGATTTTCTTACATGTTTTTGTACGATTTATTCGAAATATATTTCGTTGCATAAGTATAAATAAAAATCGGAAAAAATCACCTTATTTCATAATTCTTTATTCTCTACTTGGCATATATTTAAATTTTAAATTTTATAAAATCGAATTTTATATTTTATATTTCGACATTATGTTTTTGATCTTATAATCAAATTTTATATTCTTTGTTTCCTTTATATGCATTTGTAATATTAGTACAAAATACAATTATCTTCAATCAAAATTAATGGCCAAAAATCTGCATGCGTATCTCCGTTTCCCTTATATGCACAAACCATTTGTTGTTATTGTATTTGAATATTGAATGCATATATTTCATAAATCACGTATTTTTAGCAAGTAAATCTCAGAATATAATATTCTGAATTAAATGAGATACCCATAAATTTGAATTTGCTTGATAGACAAGCGCAAATCGCAAATTTAAATGCTACTTAAACATATATATTATCTCGTATTCTATAGGTCCATTCAATATTCACACAAGCAAAAATTTCTGAATCATCTTCTATGGCTGCCATGAACCTTATATCTCAGTTGAATCCTTTCAAGAACCAATGGAAGGTGCAAGTGAAAATTGTTCGACTTTGGAAACAGTATTCTGCAGCTGCTGGGGAGACTATCGAAATGGTCTTCCTCGATGCTAGAGTAAGTTAAATTTGAAGTGATCGAGTTTTATGCATGTTTCTCTTTTTGACGTCTCAAATTTACTTATTTAATTTAATATTCTTGCTACCAAGGAGACAAGATAGCTGGAACCGTGAAAATAGAACTGGTGGGGAAATTCGATTGTCTGCTACAAGAGGGTGAGACCAAAGTTCTCATAAACTTCACCGTGAAAAGAGAACTGGTGGGGCAATTCGATTGTCTGCTCTGGCAAATTAATTGGGGAGCTGGTAATATATTTTTATAATTTAAATAAATAGTCTATTTAATTTTATATCACATTAGAAAATAGCTAATAAATTTTTTTTTACTAATGATAAGGAAAATTGAAGAATATCTCAAACATCGATGGCTTTTCAAAAATCATTTTTGAACCTGATGATGTTCCAGAACTCCATGCATTCAGAAAGAAGTATATCATTTCGATGAGTTTAAAATATTAAAAGAGTGTGTGTTGTTTGGTAAACTAACCAATTGTTATTTTTGTTTGTAGAATTGCAAACCAAGAGTTTTGAAGACAATTTCAATTATTATATCATGTTAAAATTTTCTATTTATTATTTTATTTTAATATATTTTCTCATTATATCATGTTTTATTTTTCTATGTTTTATTATCCTATTAATTATTTTTATTTATTTTCTACTATATTTTAGTAGACGATTTCTTAATTTTTTTGTATCATCATATATCTATAAGACAAACAGATATATAAGACAAACAGTGAAAACAAATTTCTATGAATCATTGCTTCATTTCGCAGCTATACCAATATCTCATTATATGACTATATGATTTTTTTTTACTGATTCACATCTACTACCTATTTTTAGTTAAACAAAAATAATATACCAAATTATTATTCGATCAAAGTCAAAATTATCTCACTCCGCGCAGGGCGCGGATCAACACCTAGTCTTCATTTAAAATGGTGGATGTTATAAATGCAGTTCAATTTGTAAAATAAATATTCTACAATAAATCTGTATTTTAATTTGCGTTTCATTCAGAGTCTAAATACCTTGTGACAATGTAGATCTAAATCATTTGAGCGTGCATGCAAAAGAACCAAGATTATGCCAATCATATCAATTTGCAAGAAACATATTTCTGTATTTTGATTACGTAATTAAAAAAACAAAAAGTATTATTCATTAATATTTTTTTGCATTATTTTATTTCATTTTGGTGAAGATTGCAACAAGTACTTCAGTCACAAAAGGTCGAGTCATGATTCCTCCCACCGGTATTAGTTGTTCCAGTAATGAAATTATAGATTATGAATGGTTTGTTAGAAGGTAAAAACTAAAAGAAATGGTTATTTTTTGGAATCTGTAATATGTTTGAAAAAACTTTGTTAATCTGTTACTGATTATGACACAGCAAAATATTATCGATGTCCATCGGCATTTCCACAACAAAGGAAATAAACCCAGCTAGACTGAAAGAGAATTTTGATTAGATTTGATTGCATATCTCTTATCTTATTTAATCAATTAATATTTTCTGACAGCGAAGATCTGATCATTTGAGTTTGCATACAGAAGAACCAAGATTTGCTAACCATATCATTTTGTAAGATACACATTTCTAAATTTTGATTACGTAATTAAAAAAATCATAACAAAACAGAAATAAATTATAATATTGTGATTCTGACACCAAACTTATGTTTATGGTTTGAGATGTACTGAAATCTTCACCAAAACAATAAAAATAATTGATGAGTAAATAGTAGTTAATGAGATAAATAGTATTATAGTGGTGAATAGCATCACATCAAATTTGGTGAAAAAATTATAGTTAGAAAATTTTTAATGTAAAATTACACCAAAATAGAGTTTGGTAGTTGGGTTGGAGATGAATTCAGTAGTTGTATTAATAAAATAAATACACTTTCAATGGTTTGTTTAGAATGTAAAAACGAAAAAGAATGCCTTCAACAGAAAAAGTAAAAAACGAAAAAGAATTGAACAGCCGTAAGTAAAAAAAAAAATTCTGTAATTTTATCGAAACTTCCATTAGCTGGTTTCTGATTATGATACAGCAAAATATTATCGATATCCACATAGTAGAAAAAACTTAATCGAAAACAAATGCTTTAAAAATAGAGATTCAGATTAATAAAAATAAAAATAATAAAGTTGTAGACGATTGTCGTTGACGTTCGACATAAATACACAAAGGAGGACGCAATAACCGCACGAGTCGTTATATTTTTTCCGTTATGAAGCTTCGATAGCGATTTAAAACCCGAAAACAAAAAAAAAAAGAAACGGCGGAGTCATTATTGTTTACACCGTCGGATAAGCTCATTCGCCGCCGGCGACACTCGGTAGATCTATAGTGATAAGCGTTCGAGCTCGATCTTACGCCGGTTTGTTACTTTCCCGGCGGTGATCTTAGTAATATCATTTGTCTCGTGAAGTAGTTTTATTATTCGCATTGCCTCTGTGCTGATCCGATTACGATAGTTTTATCTGATTCGATTACTCTCCATTGTTTCTGATGTAAAACGTTTTGGTTACAGCATTTGATTGAAGAGATGGATGATAGGGGAGGGTCGTTCGTGGCGGTGAGGAGGATATCACCACGACTAGAACAGGGAAGCGTTTACCATTCTTCATCATCTGGTAAAATTTCTATCATCACTCTGATTCTCTATTTCTTTTTCTTCTTATGGAACAAACGCGTTTTCGTCTCTCTCTCTCTCTCTCTCATACTTTTAATCCGCGTTTCTTTTTTTCTTTCACCCACTCTATCTCTCTCATCGCTAGCGATTGATTGCCTTTTTTCCTCTGAGATTTGGTGTGGCAGATCTAAGTTTCGCCACTTGCGTTTATCGATAAATTTCGTGTAGTGTGATTATGTGTGTGGATCTTCTTTGTAAGTGCCTATCTAGCTTTTAGTATCCATACATACATCTTTTTAAATTAATATTTTGCGTGAACTCTGTCAAAAGGATTTATCATCCGAGTTCTATGTTGTGTATTGAGTTTATTCATCCGCCGCAGATTAGTGTGGTCTTTAATCGCTCTGTATTTCGAGATGACTATTTGCTTAAGATGCAATTTGTATGCTTCTCACGTATTCTAAACAGCACATTAATGACTATAGCTGTAAAAAGTCAGCTACCTTAAAATATGTTTGACTCAGTCTCTCCCTTTGTATAGGCATATAAATTATTTATTAAATTACATCATCTAAAGCTCAGTAATTTATTAATTTTTGGTATATGCAGCTGAGGTTGTGGCTGGATCGGCAGCTTGGTTAGGCCGTGGCCTTTCCTGTGTTTGTGCTCAGGGAAGCCATGGCGACTCCCGTCCTTCTTTTGATCTAACTCCTGCTCAGGTTAATCATTTTCCCTATGTTTTCTCTTCTTTATTTAAGTTGGCTTCTGGTTAGTGTACTCAAATAGCTCATAACTTCTACGGTCCTACCTTTATTGATGATGGTTGCAGGAGGATTGCCTGCAGCAGTTGCAGAGCCGCATCGATGTAGCTTATGACAGCTCCATACCTCAGCATCAGGTACGCTTTTCCTTACCGCTTGTGTTTTTTTTATGGACTGCTCAACAAGAACTTATGCCATCGAGTAGATGATGATCGTCTAAATGTTTACCAGCGCCTCATTTTATACTGCATGCTAGCTTCAGTAAGTCGAACTGTACCTGCGTTAAATAAATATTGGTTGCTACTTGGTACGCGTGTAGGAAGCTCTGAAGGGTCTTTGGAAACTTGCCTTTCCTGAAGAAGAGCTACACGGAATTGTATCTGAGCAGTGGAAGGAAATGGGTTGGCAGGGAAAAGATCCATCAACTGATTTTAGGTGATCTCTCTTCTTATCTCATTGTCATTATCCTTAGATTTATCCACTTCACTTGACTCACAGTGGAGCATTTGGCAGGGGTGGTGGTTTCATATCTCTTGAAAACTTGTTATACTTCGCTAAGAATTTCCCGGTATGTTCTTGTAAAGAGTTGCTAAGGATTCTCAAAAGTTCATAACTGTCTATTCTGTTCATAGTTTTAGTTCCAGTAGCATTGTATCGGTACATTCTTTTATAGTTATCATTACATGATATTCGGCTAGGCAATGCCATTTAACTTCCATCTCTCAGTTTATGATGCTACTTGTTTGTGTGCTGCAGAAATCCTTCCAGGAACTTCTGCGGAAGCAGGTTGGGGATCGTTCTGTGTGGGAATACCCGTTTGCTATTGCTGGAATCAATATTACGTTCATGCTTATCCAGATGCTTGGCCTTGAAGCAGGTACATCAACATTACTCATTGCATAGATATTCCGTTATGAGCCTGCTCTTAAATGCATTAGGCAGAATTCTCTAGGCAACTAGCTAAAATAGCTCAGGTCTGTAACAGTATCCTAGTACTGACAATGAATTACCCTTTCAATTTTACAGTGAAACCACCAAGTATTGTTGGCGAAACATTCTTGAGATTCCTTTCTGGTAATTACCAGACACTGCTGATTACAAGTGTCATTATCAGTCACACAACTTAGATTACTAAGTGTGTGTTTCTTTCGACGTGTCTGTTTGCAGTGAATGAATCTGCGTTTGACCTTCTCTATTGTATTGCATTCAAGCTAATGGATCAGCAATGGCTCTCCATGCGTGCTTCATACATGGAATTCAACGTAAGCACCTTCTGTAACCTTGGCTAATATCACTAGAAGTAGCATTAGTCTGTCGCATATTTGGCTCGTTTTTAAGCATTAGTCTGTCACTTGGTATTAGTTTAGTGCCAATCAAAGCCACTACGGAGATTGATGTATAAAGCTTTAGATATGAGTAGTTAAATCTTTGGAAATTTTGTATAGAAAGTAAAGAAGGAAGCACACTGATGTAAATAGGTTTTTTGAGTTAATTTAACAATCAATTAAAAAAAAAACACACAAATAGTTCACCAAATGTTTTAAGGGAAGATGTGGTAACTGTGTGAATATGTGGATAAATGCAGACGGTAATGAAATCGACAAGACGGCAATTGGAGAGAGAGATAATGGGTGAAGACATTACAGGCATTGAAGATATGCCATCATACAGCCTTCTCAGTCAATAAATAGCAAACGGCTTACCAAAGACCACTTTGTAAGTAGAAAGATCTAACAGCTCAAGAAACTTTACATCAAGAAGCCTAAAACAACAACAGAGCAAACAAGCAAAGAAGAAGAAGAATAAAAGGTCTCTCTATCCACTTATCCTTGTCAGTGATGACTCCATGAAAGTTGGGACATTGCGTTTGTTATTTCTTTGGAACAGAAGTTCAGGTTTTGTTTCATGTGCGATTAGTTTCTAACTTGTGGTTTACTTCTTTGAACTGGTCAGTAGGGAATAATGATTTACTTCTTATATCATATAACATCATTTCATGTGTATATATTTTTTGTATTATTGCAATCACACTCAAATGCTTCATATACATACGCATTCCGTGACTCAAAAACAATACTACCTCTGTTTTTTTTTTTTGAAAAGGTATACTCCCTCTGTTTTAATAAAATTTGTTGTTTCACTATACTTAACCGAATTAATTGGTTACTAAGATAAGATCCGCGCCTTGCGCGGGATGAAACTATTATTTTTATTATGTTTTGCAAAATGAAACAATAGTTTGGTTTCATTCGGATTAGAGGTGTTCAATCCGGATATCGAGTTTCGATTCGGGTCGATTTTTTAGCATTTCGATTATTAAAATATAACTACTATTCTAAATCTATATGTACTTCAGTTTGATGTCCACTAGAACGTCCGTATATTTTATCAGAAAACAAAGAAAAAAAGAGGTTTTTCTCTGAATCGATTTTTTGATTTATTTTTCGGCTTAATTACTGCTGAGTCTTCTCCTCTCGTGGAATCCATGGCACCTCTCACTTCTCCAGCACACTGGTCCAGAAACAACTACCCAGTTTTGATAAAACCAAGGCAGCCCTGTGCTGGCAAAAGGGGTGGGATTACGCATCTTCATAGGAACTATTTAACTTCGATCGCAAATAGCTGGTCTCGGAAAAGCAAAGCAAAGCAGAGGAGTGTGCTGAATTTGGTTTATATACCATCGGTTTTCAGTTTATTCAATTTTATACCAAAAACATGATTATTTAGTTTGAGATCATATTATATATTATACAAATATATAATATGATCATATTTAGAGAGTCATTTATTAAAAAAATATTATATATTTAAATAAAAGAATTAAAAACAAAAAAGCTTCTATCATATAATAAAATGATCAAATCTAGAATTAATATTAAAACACTAAATTTTGAAAATAAAAATAAAATCAAAACAGAAGCATGAAAGAAAAGTTTTTATATTCTTCCATATTTAGTGTTCATCAAACCAATATGTCTTCGATTGAACACAACTCTGTTTGTTTAAAGATAAAAAAAAGTTGTAAAGAATTTTAACTAATTGTTGTCCATCAAATTTATAATCTTTACTTCAATTTAGTTACTGTTAAAAAAGCAAAAGATCAAAATAAGAAGTCTAAGTTGTAATAAATTGTCAGCTATTTACAAATTATAATTATAGTTCAACTCATATAACAAATATATATTCATGCGTCGTTATAAATATATAAATATTTACATGTTTCAGTTTAATCGGTTATAAATCAAACCATATCTAATTCCTATGATATACATGATCGAGAATAAATGTTAATAGTTTAGTTATTTATTCTCGTTTTTAAAAATTCAAAATATAACCTATACGAAAAAATCTAAAATTTAATTTTATAGCTAATTTGATTGTTTAATTTATTTTAATAATATAAATTAAAGAAAAATGATAGAGGTTATATAAACTGTTATCAAATATTTATTATTAGAATAATTAAGTGTCATATATATATATATATATATATATATTAGTCATTTATGGTAATTCTGTAGGTTTTATTTATGGAAAGAAAATAAAATAGTTATTATATCTAGGGGAACAATCATAAATGCTTCTATCATAAGTGTCATATCATATCATATAATTTGACCAACGAATGTATTTAGCGACATATAAAAATCGAATATGGACCTACTTATTTTTCAATTGAATGTTGACTACCTAATTGAGTGACGCCTAAATATAAGATCTTTTTTAATTATTACAAAATTGAGGTTACAAATTTTTAAATGTTTCTCCTTTAATATATAAGGGATTTTCAATTTTCTCTAAAAATTTAACATTACCACCAAAACAAAAACATTTTACGTCTAACATTTTTACTTGACCACCTTCAACCGCCGTACAAAAATCTTACGTCCAACAGTTTTAGTTGCATCAGTAGACTTTAATTTGCGGTTTGAAAGTGCAAAATTATTTTTATTTACAAAATTTCATTAATATGTATAATTACATCCATAAATAATAATTTATCTATTTTAAGTTTTATATAATTATTTAAATTTGTGTATACTATTTTTTTGTAGTATTGCAATCACACTCAAATGCTTCATATACATACACATTCCGTGACTCAAAAACAATACTACCTCTATTTTATTTTATTTTTGGAAAGGAATACTCTCTCTGGTTTAATAAAATTTTGTTGTTTCACTATACTTGACATAATTAATTGGTTATTTTGAATTTTCTCTAAAATTTAACATTACCACCAAAACAGAAACAATTTACGTAACATTTTTACTGGACCACCTTCAACCGCCGTACAAAAATCTACGTCCAACAATTTTAGTTGCATCAGTAGACTTTAATTTGCAGTTTGAAAGTGCAAAATTATTTTTTATTTACAAAATTTCATTAATAAGTATAATTACATCCATAAATAATAATTTATATATTTTAATTTTTATATAATTATTTAAATTTGTGTATACTTATTTAATTTGTTAATATAGTTTAAAAATATAATTACTGCTAGATATAGATTTTTATAAATGTATTATAATATTAATGATTTAAGCTCCTATAAAAATTTTACTAACTTTTATAAAATAATTTTCTAGGCCATAATTAATAGTTTAATAAATTCGTATATATAATTATATAGTGGTTTAGCTTTTTAAAATGATTTATAAATCACCTGTGACAAATTATTAATGGTTCTTATCGTTTCTTGTATATGAAGAAAATATCTTTTTTTTTTTGAAAAATAAATAAATTTTATTCAAATAAAAAAAATATTTGTACAGAATTTCACTGTTTCTTCTCTACTAAATATATTTAGTACCCCATTTAAAGATTAAACAAACGTAAACATCACTGTACCCTTTATCTTCTCTATCTTTTTCCAAATCAAACCTCTATTGTCTTCTCATGATTATTCCTCTATTGTCTTCTCATGATTATTGCCGTTCTTTCTTCAGTGAAGTGATTCTGCATACGAATAAAATACCTTATATAAGGATATAGCATTATTATATCTATCTACTATATTAATTAAAAATTAGATTTTTGTTTTTTAGCGAATAAAATGACTGAAAAAGAAAATAAACTGATAAAACATTATATGCACTTTTAATTGTTTAAATTAATTACTACAAATCATTAGGTATAATATTATTTGAATGGTTTGAAACTGATATTATTTGACTCTAGAATTATCTTTTTTTAAATTGATTAAAAGAACTAAACTTTAAATATCATCAACTAATCAAATTAAATAGATATAATAAAGAACATGTAATCCAAGTCATTTAAATATCTTCCATTTTAATAGAAAAAATGATTGTCAGTTACATAAAATATTGGACACTACATAACTGACCATGCAAAGTAAAAGAAATATACATTCAGCTACATAAAGTTTAACATCCATAAATTTTATATTGTTATATAGCTAACATCACAAGATTAATTAATTAATTATATCACAAGACTAATTATATTAATAAAAATATAAATATAAACAACATTTTATGATGTGAATTTTTTTTTAATTTGATGTTTATATTATCAAGCATATTTTTTATTTAAAAAGTTATGTATAATAATATTAAAGTTAATGTTATTTTTTTTTAAAAAAGATTAACTTTATTTTAATTTAATATACTTTTAGTAGTTTGTTAGTTTAGCAATTATTTTTATGTACGAATTAAATAATTTATTTATATTTATAAAGTAAGGATAGAAAAGTCATTTGTTTTTTTTTAATGAAACTACATAATTAGATATATTTGAAATGTTCATGTAAGGAAGATAAACATGAATAATAGTATCAAAAGTGAGGTAAAAGTAAATTTTCCCTATTATTTTATATTAGGTTAAATAAAATGTTTTATATATATAAATATATTTCAGATTTTAAATAGTTAAGTTATTTATACTATGTTTATAAAAACATTTTTATATATTCATAAATGTCTTTATAAACATATTAAATAAACAACTTTTTAATATTTTGAATATGTTTAATATTTTATTACAAAGATTTTTGTAAAAAATACTTAAAATATTTTGTTCATCGAAAGTGTTTATAAAAACATTTTAAAGATATAAAACGTTTTGAAAAATATTTTTTTAAATGACTTAAATATTTAAATAATTATATATATTTCTATATGTTTATATAAATATATAAAATATAAAAAGGATTTATCTTAAAATGTTTTGATATTTTATATTTATTAGTAATGTAAATAACTTTGTGATGTAATTAATTATTATTAGGCATGTGATGTTAGCTACACAACATAAAATTTATAGATATTACTATGCATACCATATATTTCGTGTAACTGAGTGTGCATTTTTTTTATTTTACATGGTCAGCAAGATACTTCGGTAGTTGGTAATCATTTTTCCATTTTCATAATATAGTACGATTCCAAAAGGGGCAATTCTCTTAAATAAACCTCTTTTAAGTTTTTATCACAAAATAGACCTCAAAAATTAAAATGACCAAAATAATACTTTTTATTTTGAAAATTTTAAGTTTTTTTAAATTTTTTAAATTCGAAACCCTATCCCAAAAACTGCACTCCTCGATTCTAAACAAAAAGTCTAAGATTAATTAATGGTATAAATGTATATTTAATAAAACATTTAAATGTTATTTTGATCATTTTAATTGTTAAGATGATAAAAGAACTTTTTTTAGGTCTATTCAACTCATTTTCTCTTCCAAAATTCCAATCAAAACTGATATGCGTAGATTTAAGTCGTTGTTCATCCCCTCCAAATAGAGACTCGAACCAAACCGGGTTTGTTTGACCCGAACCAAACCGGTTTCAATATTTTAAGTTTACGCAATATATTTAAGGATTTTTAGTAATTTAAACCCTCAACTAAAGATTAATCATAAAACAAACCCTTAACTAAAAATCTTGTGAAATAAACCCTCATCTTTATGTCCGTTAATATTTTCGCCCCTCCGTAACTTTTGTCGTAACTTTTGACGGAACAACGTTAAATATTGACGAAAAGGTTACAGAGGGGAGAAAACATTAATGGACATAAAGATGAGGGTTTATTTCACAGGATTTTTAGTTGAGGATTTGTTTTACGATATATCTTTAGTTGAGGGTTTAAATTACTAAAAATCATTTTTTTGAGAAAATCCTATAAGTATTGATTATTTAGTAATTTTATGACCGGTTTTACTGTTAATACAAACTCACTTTTTTTTGTCAATGAGACCTCGCATTCCTTCGGTAAATCTAACTTGTAGCTATTCTTGTTTTCATGTTCGCTCTTTCACAAAAAAAAACTTGTTTTTGAGATTAATGTTTGGTTTAGGTTTTGCATTAGTCAATTCGTACAAAGGAACAACCTAAGACCGGAGTTTAAAATTCAGGTATCCGATCATTATTTTGGTGAGGAATCCACATTAGCTCAGACAACAAATTAAGTGGACCAATCTCCGTCAATTCGTTCTTTTTTCTCTAACAAATCATCTCTGTCTCTCAATGCTATGGTAAAACCTACCTCAGCGTGTTCATCTTTCAGTGGTCGTCCTATAAGGACATCGACTTTAATGCCATTTTTCAGTGGCTACATCACTCAAACTAGTCACTCATGCATTTCCATCCGACCCACCAACCAATCTTAGAAAAGATAAAAGGTAACTAAAATATAACTTGTCCTAATTTAGGTTATAGATATGTTAGAAGCATTCACTGAGCCAACATTCTACACATTATTTGTGGTATTATTTCTATTTTATTTATTTTTATGCTAAAATTAGTAGGTTCTGTTTTAGCATTGAGAGACTGAGATAATTGGTTAGAGAAGAAATAACGAATTGACGGAGATTGGTCCACTTGATTTGTTGTCAGAATTAATGTGGATTCCTCACCAAAATGAAGATCGGATACATAAATTTTAAACTTCGGTCTTAGGTTGTTCCTTTGTACGAATTGACTAATGCAAAACCTAAACCAAACATTAATCTCAAAAACAAGTTTTCTTTTGTAATAGAGCGAACATGAAAACAAGAATAGCTACAAGTTAGATTTACCCTCTTTCGAGGTCTCACTGACAAAGAAAAGTGATTTTGTATTAACAGTAAAATCGATCATAAAATTACTAAATAATCAATACTTATAGGATTTTCTAAAAAAAAGGATTTTTAGTAATTTAAACCCTCAACTAAAGATATATCGTAAAACAAACTCTGAACTAAAAATCCTGTGAAATAAACCCTCAACTAAAAATTCTGTGAAATAAACCCTCATCTTTATGTCCATTAATATTTTCGCCCCTCCGTAACCTTCTCGTCAATGTTTAACGTTTCTCCGTCAAAAGTTGACGACAAAAGTTACGAAGGGTGGAAAACATTAACGGACATAAAGATGAGGGTTTATTTCACAAGATTTTTAGTTGGGGGTTTGTTTTAGGGTTTAAATTACTAAAAATCCTATATTTAAAAGAAAAAGACACTGTTGACATTATCACTCCTCCACGCGCGAAATCCAAGCGGGGATATGAGAAACCAACAAGAACTCAACTAACTCATTAGCGCGTGACTTACACGTGCTGAACTAATAAGTACAACTACCACCAAGAGTTTTATCTCATCAAACAAAAAAAAACAAAAAAAGCTCTGCGACGATCCGGTCGGCGACGAGACTAACTTCGCCGTCAGAGACCGTCCCGGTACCGGAGAATTACAAATCTATTTGATATCTCTCCTCTTCTTCACACCAAAAACCTAGGGAATGGCTGTTTTTAAGGCGGCAGGGATTATTATTATTGCCCTAATCTGCTCTTTCATTACAATCGCTTCCTCTGTTCCTTTCATAGTTCTACATGGTAAGTTTCTTTGGAGTGTTTTTAGGGTTTCGAGTCCCTAAATCTCTGGAAGAATAAGTGAAAGGTTGCGTTTTTTTTAATTCCCTCAGGGATTGGGGATAAATGCAGTAACTCAGGAGTGAAACACTTCACAGAGCTTTTAAGTAATTGGTCTGGCTCTCAAGGATACTGCTTGTATGTCTTTCCCTCTATATGTCCTCTTTTATAATTCAATCCTTGTCTCAAGTTTTGTGTTTTCTTAATCCGTTAGTGATGTTTATACAGTGAGATTGGGAATGGTTCATGGGACTCATGGACCATGCCTCTTCTTGATCAGGTAATATATTATGACATGTTTCAAGAATGGTGAACTTGGATTGAGTATAAAAATCTAATCTCTTTTTGGTTCTCTTTTTGTTGTGCAGACAGCTGTTGTTTGTGAGAAGGTAACATCAACTGCATAAGGGTGTTTTTTTTTTGGCTTTTTGAAGATTTATTTCATCATGTAAGTATTTGACACTGCAGGTGAAAAGTATGCCTGAGCTGAGTGGTGGTTACAGCATCGTGGGGCTTTCTCAGGGTAACATGATTGGTCGGGCTCTGATTGAGTTTTGCGATGATGCACCCCCTGTAAGTTCCATTAACACATGCCTATTTGTATCTGTGAATGTTTTCTCTGTAATGATTATTATTATTGTTGGTTAATTCTATAGGTTAAGAGTTTTGTATCGATAGGCGGACCTCATGCTGGCACTGCATCCATTCCTTTCTGTGGTGTAAGTTACTATCTTCCCTCTAAAACTTTTGGTTTCTTCTGTCATAAAGAACGTCATGGACAGGGAGCTTTTAAACATTTTAGGTTACTTGGATTTGCATCATGTTGGACGGTATGATCAAAGCAGAGATCTATAGTGACTATATGCAGGTATGCACACTATTGTTCAGCTTCTGTGTGAATTTCTGTTAGGGAAGTGAAACTTAGTATGACATGTTGATTTGAGTTTCAGGAACACTTGGCTCCTAGTGGTTTTCTCAAAATCCCTACTGTAAGTTTCGGATTTGATTTATGCAGTCTTGTTGTTGTTGTTCTTGTTGTTGTAACCAAAGGCTTTCTTTAGGACATTGCGGGTTACATGGAAGGTTGTAGGTTTCTCCCAAAGTTAAACAACGAACTTCCAGTTAAGAACTCGACTTATAAAGAGAGGTTCTCAAGCTTGGAGAATCTTGTGCTTATTATGGTTAGTAGTCATCGAAACCCGCTTCCTCTGCTAAGTGTTTCTTGTTGATGGTAACACCCTTTGTTATGTGTTTGGATCAATTTTCAGTTTGAGCATGATACTATACTGATACCTAAAGAGACCTCATGGTTTGGTTATTATCCTGATGGGTCTTTTAAGACCATTCTTCCACCACAAGAGGTAATCAATAAACATCATTTAGCCATTGTTTCAAATGGCAGCTATGACAAGTGTTTGTTTGGATTTTGTGTAGACCAAGCTGTATACCGAGGACTGGATCGGTTTGAGAACTTTAGACGAAGCTGGAAAGGTCAAATTCGTTAGCATCCCTGGAAACCATCTTCAGATATCTCATGAAGACATGAAGAAGCATATAGTGCCATACCTCTCTGACAAAGCATCATCATCATCCTCATCTATAATTAAAATGGCAGTTTCTGAGATTCAGAGTGTAGGGAACTCCGTTATGAACCTGATTGGTCCGGAAGTGGATCAGCTTCAGCTTGTGCTGCGTCATGTCTCAACCTGATTGTGTTGTTTGTTTGAATTCTTACTAAACGTACTTGTCATGTTGCGTGAATCTGATTGTGTTGTTATTATTACAGAAAATCTCAGGAGATAAATAAACATGATAAGTCCACAGATATATTATATCAAATATTACATAAATATTACAAGTAATGGTGAATGTGTCATCTGAAATGGCTGTTTCTGATAATGCCACTACCACCTCCTCTAGGTTGTTCACCGGAATGAAGTTTCTGCAACCTAATCTGTTCTCTGAACTTGGCTATGAACTCATCTGCTTTTCTATCAACTTCGTAATGGTCATGGCTTGCATTGCTCTGGCTTTCCCAAGCTGCTGCTGCAGCAGCTTCCTCTTCTTCCTCTAAGGTTAATTTAGGTTGTTCTACCTTGGTCTCTTCAGTAACATCATCATCTTCTGGCTCTGGTTTAGGAATTTCTGGAAGCTTCTCCTGGTGTAACACAATTGCTAGTTCTTCTTTCCATTGTCTTCTTGGTTTTGTTCTTCCGTGGCTTTCTGCTTTAGGTTCTGTCCGGTCATGAGATGATATTCCATCTGTCTTTGGATCTTTCCTATGGTGATCAGATCTTATGGTCCTCACAGACTTCCCTCTTGATGAAACTTTACTAGAACCTCTCCAAGATTGTGGTTCACGTCTCGGACTAGTTGATTTCACTTCCTTGTTAATATCACCAGGAAGATCTTTCTTTCTAGACTTATCCAAATCCACAAAGTCATCCTCTGGCTTTCTTTTGATGTCTTTCCCCGGCAAAGTGTCATGGCCCTCTCGTGAAGAGCGCCTTGAGGCTTTGGCGTTCTTTGGTTGGAATGGTACATCCACAGCAGGAATTGGAAGGCTTGAAGCTTCTGCTGTTAGCTCCAAAGAGTCTTGACTCCGTCCTTTCTTGACCCTCAGCTTGTTATGTTCAGACTCCAATCCTTTCCTGATATTGTCTTTACCTTCACGCAAGTGGTCGTCACTCTTGTGCTGAAGATCACGCCTTATAGTTGTGGAATCATCAGAATCAGGTGGATATGATCTTCGAGATTTGCTCTTCCCTTTCCGGGAACTTTCAGCAGTGAGTTTCAGTGATTTAGATCCCAACTCCTTCTCTGTTCTTCTACCTTTAACTTCCCTCCTCTCCAATTCATCTTCCCCTAACATAGAAGCATCACTATAACGCCGAGAATGTAAGACACGCTTGTGTGTATTATCATCAATCACTAATGGTGGTGATGGGGGCAAAGACTTGTGACTCGGCCTCTTCTTGACCCTCAGCTTGTTATGGTCAGACTCCAATCCTTTCTTGACATTGTCGTCAAGCATATGGCCATCATCATGATCACACCTCCTAGTTGTAGAATCATCAACGGGAGATGAGATGGGATCAGGAGGATACGATCTGCGAGATTTGTTCTTCACCTTCCGGGAACTTTCAGCATTCATTTTTAGTGATTCAGATCCTAGTTCCTTCTTGCTGAAGATCTCTGTTCTTCTGCCTCTAACGTCACTCACCTCCAGTTCATCTTCCAATTCTTGCCTTACATCTTCCTCTAACAAAGAACCATCACTATAATGCCGAGAATGTAACACAAGCCTGTGTGTATCCTCAGTCACTAATGGTGGTGGTGGAGATGGGGGCAAAGATAGCGAACTAGACCGTGATGAACCTTCAAGACTCTTCTCCTTAACCGGTTCATCCACATTCGAGTTCAAAGACTCCTCAGAAACAGAATGAGAAGGCGAGAGTTTGCTCTGAGTATGAGACTCAAAGCTAGTCCGTGATGAAGAAGAGGAAGAAGAAACAGTAGACTGAGAAGGTCTCGATTCAAGGTTCGCATAGTGAGTTTCATCCACTGATAGAGGCTGAAAATTTGAAAGATAATTGTCTCCCATCGCCATCATCTCAGGTCCAAAGTCCCATGGAACAACAGGTGGAGACGGAGGAGGAGCAGCCACAAACTCATCAAAAACCTTATCAGCTTTATCATTTACAGCTTCATCACAAGAGCCATCCTCAAGAACTGAGTTATCTCTCAAACTCGACATTAAACTCCTAACAGGCAAGCCTAATGGCTGGTGCACAACGTGACCATCAAGACCATAATCTGGTCTAGCAACAACAACCTTAGATCTCCCTTGAAAATACTGCGAGTTCCAAGCTTGCACTTGATTAAACGACTCAGATTCTCTCTCATTCACTACAACTACAGAAGCTTGAGCACTCAAACGAATCTCATCACTCCTAAAATCCCAAGAAGAATCCTCAGAGGAAACGTGGAAGAGACTAGACACATAAGAAAGTGAAGACTCCTCTACTACTACTACACGGCTCGTCCTTGTATCATCAACTAATGACTCAACACTCCTACGGCTAAACAAACCATAAGCGACGGCAATGCCGACGAAGAGGAGGTGAATCAGTTCCCAGAACTTGGTGAGAACTGTCTCGCTGCCGACGAACTCCGGAGCCTGAGAAGGGAACAACGGCAAGGCGAGGAGAAACAGAGTGAATAGGATTGACTTAAAGAAGAATCCTCCTTTGGACCGAGGGGTGAGAGACGGAGGCGGGGCGGCGGAGCGACGCTTGGTGTACGGACTCGGAGACGCCATTGAGATCTAGAGTGTAGGATTGGATTCGAGGAGTATGTGAAGGAGAGGAGACTTGGAAGCGAGGTAAGAAACAGATCTAACATTAAAGCTGTTCAGTCAAAAGAGAGTGAATGTGAACACTACTGCAATAGCAGCTTCGAAGATGCTGGTCTGAAAGACAATTGCTTGTATTTACGGAATTGGCCTTGGCATTATCTGATAGACTGATACACGAGCATACGACGGCGTATCATTGGTTGCGATAAAACATAAAAGGACCGTCGTTTTCATGGTCACGCTTGAGGGTTAAGAAGAATTTGAGTCATTCCTTAGAACTTTTATTTGGTTAGATTTGTTTTGCAAAAAAAAAAATATACAAAATCAAACTACGGTTAAACTAAAATAAACATAAGTACTAAACAGATTACATAATATTGAACGTAATACGATAACTTAAAATGGTTTCAGGTTTGACTTGATTGAAACTGATCCGGTTGTGGTGTAGTTTTGATTCAGTTTGGTCGTGTATAGAATTTTTAGAACCTATCAATCAGCTTGGTTTTGATCTCACTTTGATTTAACTGTCCATGTAAAGTCTATATCCAACATGATGGTTCTGGCATGCTTTGAACACCCATTTATTAATTTCTTCTTTGAATTTCTTTTCTCGGCAACAAATTGAGGCATCAGTATCTTCGTCATACCTATCTCTTTCTCTGTCGGTTAAGATCTTTTGGCATACTGTATAATCTTCAGTTCTGCAAGATTTTTTTTTTTTAGAATTTACCAAAGATTTTAGGTTTTTTAGGTATAATGTTTAATCGCAAGAAATTTTAATGGTCTGACTTCGTCTCTTGTGGAAGGTGGACCCAAATACAGACCAAATGTTATGTTACGTCACATACATGTCTAGATATTCGTATTGGCTAAACATTTACTACTTTACAGTTCACGTACATGCAAACAACACACGCTTGCTCAATCACAACGTCTTCATTTATAATGATTATCATACTTGCAAGTAAAATTCTTTTATGAATAATGTTACAAATAGATAATGATTATCCCTATTTTCACAGTCGAGTACAATTTACTTACTTTCTATTAGCAAGTTTCGGGATAATGATATATTTAGAACACCCCCATCAAAGAATGATGATGAGGATTCACACATTTACCAAAAAAAAAAAAATAATAATAATGTAAAATTGATGAACCCATAACGCAGAAGCTCACTTCCATGAACCTGGTTCATTACTGTTTCGTGGGCCCAATGCCACGTGACGATCCACGATTGGAGATTCATTAATGTTGATGCTCCGAGTACATTCTTCCATATTCACTAGTAAACATTAAAAACAAAAGGGGACAAAAAAATAAGAAGATCATGAGACCAACTATTGAAAAGACATTCCAAGATCGTTTTAACACTTAAATAAACGACATCACTAAACCCATAACTTTAAACTAAAGTACAACAGTTTCTAATGAGAACCAGCAGCAGGTCGTTGCTGGAGAGGAATAGCAGCCCAAGGACTCATTGACCCCATAGGAGATGATGACGCCATCACAGGAGGAGCCACTGATGATAATGATGACGATGTACGCTCACACGAAGGACACATGGTGAGAGTAGTGGGAGGTTTCATGTGATTGTATAAATGTGGTGAAAGCTTTAAAGCCCTAAGTTCACTCACTTCCTTTTGCAGTCTTCGATTTTCATCCGTTAGATTCTCGCAACATCTTTTTAGATATTCACAATCAACTTCTGTTTGCTTCAGCTTCGTCCTACACACAAATATTAAGAGTTCAAAACCATATAAAAAACCAAAGAGACCCACGTAGGATCCTTTGGGTAATGCTTAAGAGACCATAAACGTCAATGCTTATGAGAAATCTTTATGGGTAATAAAAAGGCAATGATATATACATCACCATGATAGCAATAACACACATTCCACAAAGAGATTTTTCCATACTTTCACGTATAAACACATTAAATTTATCCTAACATTTTACCCAAAAAAAACACATTAAACTCATATTAATTTTTTATGTATTTATCAATTTTCAATAAACTAAATCAATATAAATTTAATAAATTCAATTAATGAGCCTAAAATTTATGATTTACTATTATTAAAATAAAAATATATAAAACAAAAAAAAATTGTTTGGGGAGAGTATTAAAAAATTTGTTTGAAAAGTATTAAAAGTGTCTTTGTTTTTAGTATTAAAAGTTTTACCTTGCCCTTCGGTTTTGAAACCACACTTCCACTTGCCTGGTCCTTAGATTCAATTGCTTGGCCAGAGCCATCTTTTGCTTCTGCATCCAACACAAAAAGTCAACTTTTGAGGAAAATTATATTAAAAAAAAAACTAAACAACACTAAGGAAATCACGAAAATGCCACCAACCGGATTGAGAGTGTTATGTTGTTTAAAAGTCTCCTCGAGGACCAAAGCTTGTTCTTTCGACAAACGGAGTTTCTTTCTCGAACCATCGTCTCCATTGCCACCACCATCTTCATCTTCGCTACCGCATCCGTCAAGTGAGCTCAAACTTCTACCAGCGTCGTTATCTTCAACTACTCTTCCTCCTCCAGCTGCCACCAGCTCTCGTTCACTTCTCTTCTCGCTCATCACGCTTGAGACGGTGCTATTCGGAGAAGAAACTCCGGCGTCTTCCTCAACGTCAACCACCGCCCTTGATGGATCTCTGTTGACGTCGATTCCCCTGAGGAACGATCCCACGTCCACGTTCCTCTCTGCACATTAGGTCAGATAGTTTCTTAGAAGACCAGGGAGTCCCCAAAATTGTAATATTACAAGACTACGTCATCTAAAAGATAGAAACCATCCAAATATCTATAAATGGAATCAATTATAATAATAATATCGGATTTAAAATAAAGAACACCTATAATGCATAAACATATCATGTTATAATTTTCAAACAAAGGTACAAGTATATATTGACCCAAAAAAAAGAAAGATAAAAGTATATATAAATATATGTGACTCATTTCAAAAACAAAATATCTATATGTGACTTGAATTTGAACATGTCAAATAATTACTCAAACAGGAAAAAAAATCGGAAAATGTACCTGAAGATTGAAACATTTGAATCCAATTGTTCTGAATCTTCTGAGGATGGTTATAATGGCTCTGCATATGAATGTTAGATGAAGATGAATAAGAGGCCAGATGTACTGGATTTAACCTCGAAGAAGAAGACTCCTTTTGATTTAAACCTAAACTCAAGCTCAAGCTTAGACCCAATCTATCATCTCTTTCATCCATTTCTAAACAACAAGTCAAAACAAAATTCTATTTTTCTTCCTTCTCTCTCTGTTTCTTTTAAAGATGTTATGCTTCTGCATCTACACTTGTGCAGCAGTACACTTTCAAAGATATGGCTGATGTGAGTATTTATAAACAAAAGAGTTTTTCAGACAAGGAGATATTGGGTGGTGAGGAGACATAGGGTTTCAATGATGACTTGTGTCAGAGACCTCTGATACCTCAATGATGATATATACTGCAAAAGAAATTGAGAACCATGGTTAAAAAAATCCTAGAGCTGTTACTTTCACCTCACATCCTCTTTCAACCATGGTTAATTATATAGAATGGTCAAGCTCTCTTGTCCCTTCTCTTTCATTTTTCCGTTTTGTAACTTGTAACTATTCTTTAATTACATATGAACCTATCAGAGCGTTTTCAGATCTTCTCAACAAATCCATTCATCTAAGATTTTACTATCTAGGGATAAAGATATTTCCTTCAATCAGATTTATTCGAATGAAAATAAAGGAGAGTGGTTTGTTTACCCGAGTTTCAAAAACCCACAAGCTTAATGGCTTTTAGTATGTGACTTTCATTACGAGAGCAGCTTTCCCGCTCGTTGACCGTTTACCAATAAGACATAGTAGACAGAAGGATTAAGAAAAAGCTGAGGTTGAAAAACAATCCAGACGGTAATCTACGCGCTGGTGAAATAATATCATAATAATTGAAGAATCATCATCATTCATCATATTCCTCATTATCATCATCATATCATGAAACATTATCAGTTTATCCTCATTATCATGCCTTATTTAATCATCATATCTATACTCTTTCCCCTTGAAAATAAAACATCTTAACTCTTTCTAAAAACACGAGTCCTACGGATGAAAAACAACCTTTTTGCAGCTTTGATTTTATAATAGTACTAGGTGATTTTCCCGTGCTCATACACGGGCATAAATATTTATAAAATAAATATATTATAATACTTGATTGATATTTACTTTAACTTTTATATTAATTTATAGTTTTTATGTATAATTATATTAATAATATTATATTATTTTAGTTATATATAATTTTAGATATATTATTTTTATTTAGTTTATCATTTGGATATATATATATATATATATATATATTGGATTCTATCTATTTCTCTGAATTCAACTATAATTTTTTTTATTCTAAATATCTTAAATTTTTGATTAATCGTTTTATTTACATTTATGTTGGTTGTTATCTTAGAAATATAAGTATATCTTAATAAAATTATGTATTTTAATATTTTTTGTGCTTAGACGAAAAAAATAAAAACTAAAGTGTTTGATTCTAAATTACATACATAAGTAATAATAAATTTTCAGAAGCTTATGAAAACATATCAATATTTACAGTAACTAAACAAATTAGAAATTTTAAATAATTTATGCCTTAGATTGATTGGATGGTAAACTGAAATTTATTTTAAATAATTTTTAAAATAAAGAATTATGATTTTCTTAAGTATTTTGATTATGGTTATATTAAATTCCACAAACATAAAAACAGAAAATTAAACATCAAAAGAGTTATTAAGAAAACATATAATTTTAACTATTAAAATATAATATATCTACCTCGTTAAATTATATAGTGTTATGATATTTTAAAAGAATTGTAGTTATCTGATCAAAAGATGTTAACCATTAAATTTATTTTTAGTTTTGTTTTTATTATCTCTTAAAATATGCAGTAAATATGTGATTGTTTTTGAGAAATTATATTATATAAGTAAAATATAATTTATATTTTTTTCTGTAACGGAAATTGATATTATAATCAAATAAATATACTAATTATATTTTTTTGTCAATTAAACATATATCAGTTTATGTTACTTAATTATTTTATGTAATCGTCTAATAAAATAGATAGATATATACAAAAACTAATTACTTTGAAAATATATATTTTATTTTTTAAATTGTTTTTTAAAGAAAAAATAATTCTTTTTCTAATATCAAGATTATTTGTATGATTTTTTTTATGAAAACACATTATATACTAATATTTTTTTCATCTAAGAAGATATATTTATAAAGTATAATTACTTAAAAAGTATAATTTATGTTATTTAAAAATATATTTAAGTTAATATTACTATTTTGTAAATTTTCCTTTTTTATGAAACCATATCTCTTATAATATTATTTTTCGTTTTTAAATAGTTTTGTAAATTTTAGAAATATTTCCTTTTTGTTTTATATCGTTATTTGGAAGATTTTAAAAAGGAAATAATACTATTTAAATATATTTTTAATTCATTAGGGGTATCATAGTAATCAACCAGCGTGAGAGTTAACGTGAGCGCGACACCTAAGAAAGTGACTTCTCAAATAATATTATAGAGATTTCTTTTGTTGCATAACTTGCATATTATAGTTTGTACTTTTACATTTTTATCAACTAAAAAATTTGGACCATTTATCTATTTGTGCGTTTCATCCTTTCGCAAGCCCATACTAATCTTCTTTATATCGTTCCAATTTTATGGGATGTCCGTGAAAGGACAGTTTGTACTTTTATTTCCCATGATACTTCCATCTATAGTCTAATAGTTGTAAGTTTTCTTTTCTATAAAAAAGTCCATATTGTAACTTATATCAAATTCATAAGCTTATAGGCGAGAATCATAAAATTTTACAAAATAGTAGCTCATCATTCTATTAATAAAGTTATGTATTTGAGTGATTTTACATTTTATAGTTTCTACATCTCTATAATGTCTTATAAAATTCCATAGTAACAATTTACTCTGTATTTTTGAAGATGTGAGTTATGATATGTTTAGTAGTATGCCATCAGGGATGTTAAATAAGGTAAGAAATCGTGAGGTACACGCACGAGTGGGAGGGGAGAAGCGTAGGTGATCAGGGATAAAAGAGGCGGTGGGCTCAAAATGGGTATGAAATCAGGAGGGGAGCAGAGTTACGGTGTCGTGTTGATATGATAGGTTACAGATAGCCTATAAATAACCCTAAACACTGCATGTATTGGTGGAATTGTCTGTGAATCCAACATGCATTCCCATTTCTAGGCTTCCTTTCATTTACTGTTTCTTTTTTTCCCACAGTCTTTTAATGTTTTGTGGTATTTATAACTTGTCATTAACTTGTTACTTCCTCCGTTTCATTTTAATTGTCATTCTACGCTTTTGCATATAGATTAATGAAACATTTAATTTTACATATTTTCAAGAAAAAACATAATTACTTATACACCTAACCACTTTTCAACCAATAGAAAAAAAAATATCATATAAAACTAATAAATTTTATCTCGAAATTCTAAAACGAAATGTAATTTTTTTCTCTAGAATGACAATTAATTCGAAAGAGAGGGAGAGGGAGTATTAGTTTGATTGTCAGTCAACTTGAACAAAAGAAAACGCACGAAGGCCTGGGCATTTTCCGATTCGGATCGGGTTCGGGTCGGGTCATGTCGGATCCGGGTCCTTCGGGTCTAAGATATTTAGACCCAATAGGGTAATTAGACTTTGTCGGTTCGGGTTCGGTTCGGGTCCTACCGGGTCCGGATCGGTTCGGGTCTTATATAGTTGGACCCAATGGGGTAATTAGAATTTATCAGTTCGGATTCGGTTCGGTTTTGGGTCGGGTTCGGTTCGGTTTTGGGTCGGGTTCGGTTCGGTTTTGGGTCGGATTCGGTTCGGGTCCTACCGGGTATGGCCCAAAAAATACCTAAACACACAAAAATACCGGAAAATATTTAAATACCCAAAAATACCCGAAATTTTACCCAAAACCTGATCCGAAGACATAAAAATATCCAAAAATTTATCTGATTATATTTTTAAAAACCTAAAATTTTACTTAAAACCCGTAATTATATCCAAAAACCCAAATCCGAAACATAAAATAATACTCATAATACCATAAAAATACTAAAACATATATATATATATATACATAATATATACTAAAAGTTTTGGATATTTCGGGTACCCCATCGGGTCTCGGGTTCGGGTCGGTTCGGATCCAAGACCCGCGGGTCCTCCACATCAAGACCCAATAGGGTAAAATAATCGGTTCGGTTCATACCCGAACCGCACATTTTCGGGTCCGTTCCAGATCGGGTCTTCGGGTCCGGGTAAAATGCCCAGGCCTACGCACGACATATACATGGTGTTGGTAGATTTTGCGACTGAAGTAAATAATTTCTTAATTGTGTTTTATGTTTTCTGACATTGATAACGCTATCATTACTTCTTCGCCAGTCTCTTCGAAACTTTCATCAGTTTCACAGACAAGACACATCAACTTTATTAATTATTAGTAATATAATTTGTTTACATCCTTTTATTTTGAGCTTCAAAACATTGGAATGGAAGTACAAGATGATATTGATCATAAATATATTCGAATTGATTTGTTTTTGACCAAATTACGAATTGATATTTTAAAACAGTTTTGTTTGTGTAGCATCAACATTGGGTACAGGGGCGAAGCCACCTTATGAGGTGTAGTGGCACTTGCACCCATAAATATTTTTTTTTCAAGCACCCATAAATATTCTAAATTCAAAATTTTATTCCATAAAATATTCCAAAGTTCAAAATTTTATAGCTAAGAACATTAATCTTTTGGTGGATCAGGTGGTAAAAGTCATTAAGTGCATCCATAATAACCCAAGTTCAAATTTCATTTGTGCATTTTTAGTTTTTTATAACAAATAATACATCCAGTAAATAAAAATTCTATAAATTCGCCATTAGTTAGATATATTGTACTCCCTCTGTTTTATAGTAAGTGTTATTCTAACCAACGATAACTAACAAAAAAAAAACCAAAAACTAATAACTCAACTACTAATACATGAGGATAACTAACGAAAAACCAAAAAAACTACTAATACATAGAATTTGTTTGATGTTAAGTTTACACTTGAGTAATCAATTTTTCTAAAGAGATACACTTGAGTAATCAATTTTTATAAAGATATAACTCAAAATAATATAACTCAAATATCAACTCAAATATTAAAATTACTCAAAATTGGTAATTTTTTTGAATTATACTCCTAAGTAAAACTTAATCAACTCTAACTCATGTCACCAATTAAAGTCGACATCAAACAAAATTCAATGTATTAGAAGTTGATTATTATTATTAATTGTTTTGTGTTAGTTGTCATCCGTTACTTTTAGATTTTTAACGTTTTTTTAATACATCCATGATTATCTCACATTTTAGCTTTTGTCAATTCATAAAACATTTTCAAAAAATTTATATACCTATTTACCATGAGTCAAAGATGTTTTATAAACTATTATTTCCATTTAAACTACTTAAAATATCATTCATATAATTTAAATCTATAATTCTATTTGGTAACTAAAATTTTTACATACATAAAATTATATGTAAATATATAGGTATATTTTGTTAAAATATACACAAAGTATATTTCCTTAGTTTTAATTTAATTATTTAACATAATATATTTTCTTTTAATCTTTTTATTAAATTTATAGTAATTATTATTATTATGTTCATAATTTTAAAATAATATATACTACAACTTAAAGATAAAAAAATATTATCAGTCAATAATCTTTAAAATATAATAATTTATATTTGTACAGAGGTTTCATTATTAAATCTAAAGTTTCTACCACATTATTTTTATAGTCAGTTACACCAAATTATTATAACTTTTGTTGTAATTCAACTCTAACTAGATTTTGACCCGCGTTTGAAAGTTCGGAAATTTTTTATAACTAAAACTTATATAATTGGGTTATGTCTTAATTTAAAAAATGTTTTGGTATAAAATCAGTTTACCAAAATTTGTGGTGATGAATTTTTTCATTAGTGTTTAGTTTCAGTTTTTATTTTTAGATTTTGGTTTTTAGTTTTTAAGTTTCTATTTTTGATTTTCATCTTTTGTTTGGTTTTTTTAATAGATCCGCTGAGTTAGTTTGAACTGATATTACCAACAAACAAATTTCAAATAATCGAACATCTAATTTAAAACTGAAAAGATGACAAATTTTTTTAAAAAAGAATTGCAATAGTTTATTTTGTAAATAAACAAAAACAAAACTATAACAATATGTTATCCAGAACAATGCGTTTTCAGCTTTTGGTTTTGGGTTTTAGTTTTTAGAATTGGTTTTGCTTTACATTTTTTTTGTTAATCAGTAAGAAAAATAAAACAATAAATTATTTAAAAGTTGCCATTGCAATTTATCAAAAAATGTGATTGTTATTTAAAATAAAAAATACAATAACATGTTTTAAAGTACATGATTTAAATAAATAATTAATAATAGAAAATTTTGTTTTGTTAAAAATATTAAATACATTTGGGCCTGAAAATAATAATTGATTTTTTGATCCATTAAGATATAAATTTTATTCAATTTTTTTTGGAGTTTTTCCTTAATAGTAAGCGTAAAAATCAAACCATATAATTTGTCTTAAAAACAAAAGTAAGCCCAAGATTATATCCCATAAATAACCATCAGTTTAATTTAAGTAATGCGGTTCAGTTAACTATATGGCTTGTTGTAACACTTTAGAAAGAGTCCAAATTTAAATGACAATTTGTATTAGTAGATAAAAAAAGATTCTATTTTAATAGAGTAGATTTCCATTGGTTTCATATAATTATTAAATTTCCATTTTTTAAGGAATTGTTAAGATGCTAAATGGTATATTACGATTTCTACATTGATATAATTAGTAGATTTCCAAATTCCATATTTTAATTTAATACTAGATTTTGACCCGCGCTTGAAAGCGCGGAAACTTTTTATGATTAAAAATTTATGTAATTGAGTTTTGTCTTAATTTAAAGAATGTTTTGGGATAAAATCAGTTCACCAAAATGTGTGGTTATGATTATTATTCATTAGTTTTTAGTTTCAGTTTTTATTTTAGATTTTGTTTCAGATTTTGGTTTTTGGTTTTTAGTTTTTAAGTTTCTATTTTTTATTTTCAGCTTTTGGTTTGGGTTTTTAATTTTTAGACCCGCTGAGTTAGTTTGAACTGATATTACTAACAAACAAATCTCAAATAATCGAACATCTAATTTAAAACTGAAAAGATGACAAAATTATTTTTTAAAGAAATTTGTAATAGTTTATTTTGTAAATAAATAAAAGCAAAAAAATATAATCTGTTTTTCAGTTTTTGGATTTTAGTTTTTAGATTTGGTTTTTGGTTTTGCTTTACATTTTTTTTTAAATCAGGAAATTATTTAAGAGAAATAAAACAATAAATTATTTAAAATTTACCATTGAAATTTATCAAAACAAATTGATTGTTATTTAAAATAAAAAATACATTAACATGTTTTAAAGTACATGATTTAAATAAATAATTAATAATAGACAATCTTGTTTTGTTTAAAAATATTAAATATCTTTTGGGCTTAAAAATAATAACTGATTGTTTGATCCATTAAGATAAAAAGTTTATTCAATGTTTTTTGGAGTTTTTCCTTAATACTAAGCCCAAAAACCAAACCATATAATTTGTTTTAAATAAGCCCAAGACTATATCCCATAAATAACCATCGGTTTAATTTAAGTAATGGGGTTCAATTAACTATATGACTTGTATTATTTGTAAAAGTCTAGAAATAATCCAAATTTAAATGACAACTTGTATCAGTAGATAAAAAGAATGACTCTATTTTAATAGAATAGATATAAGATTAGTGATTTCTATATTCCATATTTTGATAATATATATTCTTTTAGAACATTTCATATTTGTAGGAGAAAATATGTATTTTTGGTATACACATAGATATCTACCATATTTTAAAAATATTTTACAGTAAGGTCGCCATGTTACATTAATTGTGTTGGTTTAATTTAAGTAACTATATTTTTTCAAGCGCGGAAATTTTTTATGATTAAAAATTTATATAATTGGGTTTTGTCTTAGTTTAAAGGATGTTTTGGTATAAAATTAGTTTACCAAAATTTGTGGTGATAGTTGTTTTTCATTAGTTTTTAGTTTCAGTTTTTATTTTTAGATTTTGTTTTAAATTTTTTTTTTAGGTTTTAGTTTTTAAAATTCTATTTTTGATTTTCAGCTTTTGGTTTGGTTTTTTAAATTTTAGACCCGCTGAGTTAGTTTGAATTGATATTACCAACAAACAAATCTCAATTAATCGAACATGTAATTTAAAACTGAAAAGATGACAAAATAATTTTCTAAAATTTTTGAAATAGTTTATTTTGTAAATAAAAAAGCAAAAAATATAACCTGCGTTTTCAGCTTTTGGTTTTGGATTTTAGTTTTTAGATTTGGTTTTTGGTTTTGCTTTACATTTTTTTTTAAATCTGTAAATTATTTAAGAAAAATAAAACAATAAATTATTTAAAAGTTACCATTAAAATTTATCAAGATAGAGTGATTGTTATTTAAAATAAAAAATATTAACATGTTTTAAAGTACATGATTTAAATAAGTGATTAATAATAGATAATTTTGTTTCGTTGAAAATATTAAATATTTTTGGGCTAAAAAATATTAACATGTTTTAAAGTACATGATTTAAATAAGTGATTAATAATAGATAGTTTTGTTTTGTTGAAAATATTAATTATTTTTGGGCCTGAAAATAGTAATTGATTTTTGATCCATTAAGGTGGAAAATTTATTTAATGTTTTTTGGAGTTTTTCTTTAATACTAAGCCCAAAAACCAAACAATTAAATGTCACAAAAACAAAAGTAAGCCCAAAACTCTGTTCCATAAATAACCGCCGGTTTAATTTAAGTAATGCGGTTCAATCAATTATATAACTTGTATTATTTAAATGATAACTTATATCAGTAGATAAAAAGAATGACTCTATTTTAATAGAATAGATGCGGTTCAATCAATTATAAGACTTATATTATCTGTAACACTCTAGAAAGGATCCAAATTTAAATGACACTTTGTATCCGTAGATAAAAAGAATGTCTTTATTTTAATAGATTAGATTCAAGATGTTTTCAGTTGAAGGGAGCCACATGTACGATCAAATTATGACACTCTTCTATTGGCCATTAGATTGATATACTCTTGCCAAGTTACTTCTGTAAAGGCTGTAATGCATTTCAATTAATTGTCATTGATATATAGTCGGTTCATGCACGGTGATTCCTAATGTTCGAGTTATATACCGTCAAATGTAATTTTTGTAGTAATTGCCATCGATAAACAAAAAAAAAAAAAATCGTAGCAATTTCAATGAATCGTGTAAAACAAAAATTTAATAACTTCTTTGTGTCGTGATCTTTTCCTAGCAATTTCCTGTTGTGGAATAAGGTTCCACTAAAGAGTCTAATTCCTTCAAAACTTTCGTACACGTTCTTAACAAAAGAAAAACTTTCTTGCTCGTACTCTCAAAATATATTGCATGTATAAATATCCCTCTCGTATATACTTGCAAAGACCACACACAGAAAAGAGATGGAGTTTGCTAAATCAAACATTGATGGCTACCAAAATGTCATCGTTATGCGTCACGGCGATCGAATGGACCGTTTTGAGCCACTTTGGGCTTCGACCGCTGAAAGACCGTGGGATCCTCCACTCATTCATAACGGTATGGTTCGTGCCTTTCAAACCGGTCAAAGAATCAGTTCTCAGGCTGTGTTTCCGATTCACCGTGTCTTTGTCTCTCCTTTCCTTCGCTGCATCCAAACTGCTGTTGAAGTTATCACCGCTCTCTCCGCCGTCCCTTCCATTGATAACTCTAAGCTCAAGGTTTGGCACCATATCTCCTTTTATATAAATATGAAGTATATCTATTTACAAAGGCAGAGCTGGTTCTAAGATTACAAAACTATATGGGATTTAGTAAAGATCTTAATAAAAAATTATTTTTATTAATAATTAGAATCTATCATTATGTAAATTATCTCTTAAAATTTAGGAGTCATAGACCAATGATCACTTGATTATGTCTGGGACTGGCTCTGCATCACTGCATGCATGAAAGTTAAGATGCATAAATGACTTGTCTGCTTCAGGTAGCAATAGAATTTGGATTGTGCGAGATACTGAACTCATTGGCTATTAAGAGTGACGTTGCCCCCAAAGATGGGAAGTTTGATTTCAATATTTCAGATCTTGAAGCTATGTTTCCTGAGGGAACAGTGGACAATAATGCCGATATGGTTTATAAAGAGGTACTCTATATCTAACTCTTATATTAGTTCTTCGTTTTTTTGTGGAATATATCATGATATAGATACACTAACTTTCACTCTTTCGACTTTTATATTCCTTCATTTATTTGACTATAACTTGATATATAGTTGAATCATGATTCTATGTTGGTTCGGTGTAGTTGCCACAATGGGGAGAATCTGCGGAAGGTTTCAAGGAACGATATGTAAATACATTGAAAGTTCTTGCAGAGAAGTATCCTTCTGAGAACTTGCTCTTAATCACTCATCGTAAGCATAAAATGATTATGGCCCTTTTTAGTTTTAAATCAAAACAAACATCTCTCTAATCTTGAGAACGTTTCTTTTAGGGGGAGGAGTAAGTACTATACTCTACAAGTACTTAAAAGACGCAACTAAGCGCTTCGTAGATTATTGTGGTTGTGTTGACTTGAGAAGACAGGATGTGTTTGGTGAATCTGTGGACTTCAAGGTGGTCACTAGTCATGGAGTATCAATCAAGGACCACAATGTCCCAATACATGACCGTATAAGAAGACAATCTCCGGTTTAGCCGGTTTAATCCGGGCACGTTTGTACTGTTTATTTATACTTAAATAAAAGACCGGCGACTTTTGCATTTTAAAAATTTATGTTTTAATACGAGTGTGTATCTTTTGTGATTTAAAAAACTAATTCGATAATTTAAATATATTAAAATATTATACTTTTAGTCCTTGACGTCATGTATACTCTATATTTACTTCCTACGTACACGGCACCAACCACCATCAGAATTTCAGAGCAACAATGACGTCATCTGCTAATGCGAATACTAACAATGGCTACCAAAACATCTTGATGCTGCGTCACGGTGATCGCATTGACAAGGTCAACCCACTCTGGCTCGATACAGCTTCGAGACCTTGGGACCCTCCTCTCGTTCAGGACGGTTTGGTTCGTGCGTTTCAAACTGGTCAACGGATCCGATCTGAGATCCAGTTTCCGATCCATAGGGTGTTTGTCTCTCCTTTCATCCGCTGCGTTCAGACCGCTTCAGAAGTTATCTCAGCTCTCGCAGCCGTCGATGTAAACCCTAACGCTACGTCTTCTAAAGACGTTATTTCCATCGATAAATCTAAGCTCAAGGTCAGATTCTGATCATTTTAGGTCTATAGGTGTTGAACTATGACTGTCTTGGGGAACAGTCATGATCATAGGCAAATTAAACATTTGCTTTTGACACCCAAAATTTTAAGAATAATTTACATGGATATAGACCGTCAAATATGTTAAAAACATTAATAATAACTTTTACTAAACTGCCTATTAACCCTCAAAATACCTGGGCCAATTAATAATGGTTGTGTTGTATGTAATGGTATGAAAATTAGTTAAGGTGGTTCTTGTCTGCTTCAGGTATCTATCGAGTTTGGTTTGAGTGAGATGTTGAATAGTATGGCTATTAAGCCTGAGGTTGCTCCAAAAGATGGGAAGTTCGATTTCATGGTTTCAGATCTTGAAGCTATATTTCCTGAGGGAATGGTGGATCATAATGTGGAGCCTGTTTATAAAGAGGTGATTTCTCTAGACCTTGTCTTTCTTGTTCTGTTTCTGTATGTTGTTTTCTTGAAAGCAATTTGAGTATATAAACTTGATGATTTTCTTATGATTGTGTCATGTTGGTTCTGTTCAGATGCCACAATGGGGAGAGACTGTGGAAGGATGCACAGAACGGTTTCTTAGTTTGGTGAAGACTCTTGCTGATAAGTACCCTTCAGAGAACTTGCTCTTAGTCACTCACGGTAAGCAAGACATTCTTGGTTATGTGGACCTTGTAACACACACTATTGACTTGATTAGTTTTAAGTCTCTGTTTTGAATTTTCTTTGAGTTTTTTTTTTCTGTCTGACTCTGTAGTTGCATACTAGAGCAAAACTTCTATGATAATCAGTTTATTTTCAAAAGAGTTTGACTTGTAAGAATCTCTCTGTGCAGGGGAAGGAGTAAGGACTACATTTGCAACCTTCAAAGACGTAGATGTGTACGAAGTAGAATATTGTGCTTGTGCTGAACTGAGACGACAGGTCTTGAGTCAAGAAGGGCCTACTAAAGCTGGAGACTTTGAAGTGATTACAAGTCTTGGTCAAGCTGGAATCAAGTACCATTCCTTGACCACCACAGAAAAACCTTGTGTGAAGTGGTTTTGAGTCTTGGTCAAGCTGGAATCAGGTTTAGTCATGATCCTATCATGATCCGAACACCGGTTTAGTTAACTGCCTTTAGTTCTTCTGTTCTTGTTATATTTGGTTGTATTTGAGTTGCTTTTTGTATGAATTATGAAATATTTAATTCAAAACTGATTCAGTCAAATAAGATATTATAAATCTCTGCCAACAAAAGAACATTAACAGAGAAACAAGGATTGTCATTACATAACAGAGTAGTTAAGAGTGTTGCTTGTGAAGCACATCTAAAAAAACAAAGCTCGTTAGAGTCTGCGTTAAAATAGACTTAAAACACACACATGGAGGAGGAAGCAATCTAACAGAAACAAACAACAATCTAAGGACTCTGATTTGGATCGTCAACTTGATCAAACATGTCAGCCGGGAAATCATCTAAGAAAACATCAGCTTCTTCTTCTTCATCATCATCCTTTGAAACATGTCTGCATCTTGTTGGTGGCACTAGAGACGGCTCAAAAAACGGCTGAGGAAGAACAAACAACGGCTCGGAAGAACCAGCCGGTCCGAGGATATCATAGTAATAAGGGTTGTCGAGTCTAGCCAAAAGATCTATACTTTCTGAAGAGAAAGAGTTAGAGTTAACCGCTTGTTGATTGGCAATCTGAAACTCAGACATGAGTGGAGTCGTCTCTGCAAGAACAAGATCAGTCCCAAAAGCCAATGGCTTATGTTCTAACTTAATACCCAATTCAGACAACCTTAAGGCTTCATCAACTTGGTCTGATGATGAGTTATTAGTAAGAATCTTGGAGGACGAAGTAGAAGCTGTAATCTCTTCCTCAACCAAACCAAAACTCTGAAACTGAAACACACACACACAAACTGAAAAATCCTTTGCAAAAACAAAAAAAAAAAAATTTATTTAAAAAAAAAAATCAAATACCTGAGAGGCGAATAAGGATTGGATTGGTTTAACATTTTTGCCTTTGTTTCGATGAGAAGAAGGTTTTGGATTGCTAGAAGTCGATGCATCAGAAGAGTTATGAAAAATCCTAGCAAGTCTCTTTATTCTGCTACTCCAGAAATTTTTCACATCGTTGTCAGTTCTTCCCGGTAAATACGTAGCGATTCTCGCCCATTTGTTACCAAACTCCGCCTGCAACTCAATCACGGTCCTCTCTTCCTCCGCTGAGAATTTGCACCCACTACAAAACTCATAAGGTTTATAAAGCAAACAAAAACTAAGATCGAAGAAGAAGAAGAAGAATACGAGAGGGAGGGAATAGAGTTTCATACTTTTTGAGATTTGGACGGAGTTTGTTGACCCAACGGAGACGGCAAGATTTGCCGGTGCGTTGAAGAAGACCTTTGGATCGAATGGAGCTCCAGTCACGAGGACCGTATCTGTTGACATGGTTGATGAGCACTTCGTCTTCTTCGGCTTTCCATGGACCTTTTTTTATCTCTTCCTTCTTCGCCGGTTCCATGTTTTTGTTTTGTAAGTCGTGTTGTGTTGTGTCTGCGGAAGTTTCTTGTAGTGACGGTTGGAAACGGTTATCACCCACTCTCCAAGTTTCTCTCCAATGTTTGAATTTACTATATATTACTAAAATACCCTCGTACTATGACTAGCCCAAAAACTAAGCCCAGTTTGAAGTTGAGCCCATCACTATATTCGATCACAGCTCCAATAACTAAATCCATGTGGTAACATTGTCTATTTACGAGTGTGATTGGATAATTTAGAGTAAATGAGAGTAAATTAAAGAAGAGTAAATGAGTGGAAAATATGTGAAGTAAACAAATGAAAAGAAAAAGAAATAACAAACAGAAACCAGCGTTAATTTTGTAACTCTGTATAAATCAAAGATAGAAAATATAATATTTTTTACTCTGTTCAAACAGTGATTCTAAAAGAAATTAAATTATTTTTCACCTGATTGGCAAGACAAAAGCTGAAAATGGAGTAAATGTTCTTCCCACTCAAAAATATATCGCTAGTCATGCTTTCCAGTCACATTCTACTTGTTGCATAGGGTAATACTTTGCATCATTTTTTGGGAGAAAATAAGAGCACTTTTATCCCTTATAAAAAAAAAGGATGCTTATGGCATGAGATCCACCAAAAACACAAGCATCCAACGCTTCTAGCAACAAAATAAGTACCTAATTTTTTTTTAGGCTTGCATTGTTCGCGGGTTCCATTGACACGTGACGGTTTATAAGTCGTTTTTTAATTTTTTTTAAATCAGAATATAAAAATAAAAAAATAAATTTTAAGCGTTCATTATAGGGATGTTGGGATAAAGATGCTCTAATGATTTGCATCATTACATGCACGTCTGATTATGCAACCTTTACGTGATTTTGATCTCCCATAAAAAAGCCTGTGTTTACGTGTTTTGCAATTGCTAAATTGTTTAAAAGAAAAACCATGCAGTTCGAGCAACAAACGTTACAATTTAAAAGAAAAAATTATAGCTATAAATTTTAAAAACGAATAAACAACATTGTGCATGTTAATAGAATTGATGGTTTGAATCTGTGGAAGCCTATAATGGAATTCTGCCTTTCGCTTTTGGCATCCGCTGTGTTTACTAAAAACGTGTCAAACAGAATTTTTATATACACAAGAATGAAAGCACAGAACCAGTGCAAGTAAGCTGTTATAAATGAAATTATAATAAGCACAAAGTAAATATATTATAGATTGACAAAGATTAGAAAACAAATAAAACGATATACCATGACCTTTTTCTTACATATGATACTAGTCGTGACATGTGGTTTATTTTCTTAAAGCTGCATCTTATACCTTGCTCGTTAAGGGATTTAATAACATTTCATATTGAATACCACAATTAATTAATTATTGAACCCACTAGGCACCACCAATAGGGTTAACTGATTTTAAAATTTCACTTAAATTTTCGAATCTCATAAAGTAGTGTATAATTTAACCAATTAGCCATATGATTACGGTTTTGGAATCGATTCGTTCTTATTTTATCCGGGTGAAGCACATGTTATGCGACTGATCCCCTATATGTATAAGATAAACATCAGATCCTTCTTCAGTTCTTCTCTATCTTTCTTTAGAAGTTAAAATTTCGAAAGTAACTAGTCTTTCTTCTTTTTACTAGCTCCTCCTTTGTTTGTATTCTCATGGACTCCTCAACATCTCTAGTCTTGACACGTGCTTCAGAATCTGCAAGCAAGATTGGATCATCCATTCCTGACAAAATGGACCGACCGTTGGATCTTGAATCAGGCACAACCCATGAGTTGAGCAAACCGGTTCCTGGGATGTGGCGGTTTCCTACAAATCCAGATCTTTGTTGTATCTACAGAGTCCCAGGCTGTCTACGTGAAGTAAACCCAAAAGCATACACTCCTCAGTTGGTCCTAATCGGACCACTTCACCATTCTTTAAAATCTCAAGCTCTTAAGTCTCGTGGAGATATCACCAAGGCAAAGTCATTGGGATACTTAAACACTGAGGCGCATAAGAAGATTTACCTAGCGGAGTTCACAAAAAGGGTTGAAGGGAGCAAAATTATTGAAGAACTCAAAAGAAAAATCAAGGAAGACGAAGACATGATCAGGGCAAGCTACTCAGAATCAACGGCCTGGATTGACTCTCCAGACTTTGTGGAGATGATCCTGCATGACTCTATTTTCATAATAGAGCTCATGTTAAGGTTTTTCGTTGGAGGGTTAGAGAGAATAGGAGATCCTCTGATGGACGAGCCTTGTCTTGAAAACACAATCAAGAGAGATCTCATCTTGCTCGAGAACCAACTTCCTTACTTCATCCTCGAAAAACTCTTTGATCCAATCATCAAGATGTTGTACCCGAGCGAGACAATGCGTACACTTGTTATCAACTATTTCCAACTTGACAAGAAAAAGAAGCTCAACGAGAACTCGAAGTTCAGACATTTCACTGATCTGTTCAGGTGTATTCGTGTGGAAACACTTCCTGATGATGGTTTAATAAGGAAGTACGGAGAATTAACAAAGATGCATAATGCAGATAAGCTATACAGCCGGGGGGTGGAGTTCGAGGCTGTAGAAGAAGAGTTTTCAGTCTGGGTGACATTCGAAGTTAAATCTGGTTGTTTGAAGATACCTTGTTTCTCGGCTGATGACGACATGGAGATAGAGCTTAGAAACATAATGGCGTTTGAGCAGTCGTATTATCCTTACCATGCCTACGTTTCTGACTATGTCACCTTCTTGGATTTCCTGATCAACACCGAGAAAGATGTAGACTTGCTTGTCGAGAAAGGTAACCCCTATATCGTATATATATACGTGTGTATTTAACCAGGGTTGATTAGCCGTATGCCTCCCCATTGGGACATAAAGATCCATGTTAACCAATCAAGAGTCAAAATAGAGGGGCCATACCACTGGCTCTTTTTAGATGGGCATGACCAGGGCACATGAGCTTTCTAAAGCTCATAAAACATTAATTTTAGACACCAAAATTTATACAAAATTTTAAGGATATCCAAATCTAATATAACAGTGGTTTAGATGGGCATGACCAGGGCATATGAGCTTACTAAGCTCATAAAACATTAGTTTTAGGCACCAAAATTTATACAAAATTTTAAGGATATCCAAATCTAATATAACAGTGGTTTAGAGCATCACTAATGAGTTGTAGAGTTCTAAAATTTAGTGTTTTGTCAATAATATATCAATATGTTAAGAAAATTCATTTATATAATTAAATGTTATTTTTTTCTTAAAATGTGTCAACCAGAAGATGGCACTGGCTAATTTGTGCTTTTTTAAAATTTGGGTGATAGTATCTTGAAGTATCTCGTACGAGATTTGATTGGGCTGTTTTAAAATTCTCTCTCCTGTTTTAGTTTTTTATCAGAGCAATTTATATGGAAGTTTTTTATGGTATCTCCCAATCGGAGTTATTCTTATTTTTTCTAGAGAAAAACACTTACAAGAGCTTGCTGATAAGGGTGCTCTTAGGGACAAAAACAAAGATCATGCTAGATGCAACTATATAGGGCTGGACACGTTCGCCACTAGCCCGTCATTTAAACTTAATGCATCTGCATTAGTAATTGTATGATATCTTATCTATTAAAAAGTATTAGAGATATATTTTAAATGATAAAGAAAAAATAAAATAAATGATAAAGAAAAAAACGTGAGATGTAGTCATGTAGAGATTTTTAAAAATTAAAGAGACTCGTTGATTAGTTGTCATTCTATTGATTTGCTTTTATTTTATCATTTAAGTAATTAGATAAATAAGCTAAAAAAGTTTTTGGGTATCCCAACAGTAGCGATGCTCTTGACCGGTTATAATACTTGTGTATAGACTTGTAATGGTTTTAGTTGTTGTTCTTTTCTATCAGGGATCATAAAGAATTGGCTTGGGCACCATGGTGCAGTCTCTACGTTGGTGAACAATCTATGTTTGGGAGTCATGGACGATGGTTCTTCTTATGCTGATATCGCATCAAAAGTCATCGCTCACTACGATAACAAATGCAACAAGGCACGCTCCATCCTCAGACGCGTGTATTTCAACAATCTGTGGAGAGGAACAGCCACCGTAACTGCTGCGTGTATATTGATACTGACTCTTATCCAAACCGTGACTTCGATCATTGATGTCATTCAGAAGTGAACTTAATCACGAAAACACACTTTGTTGAGTTCACCCCCAGTTTTATGTCACCCTTTTTCATAAGATTTAGCTAGTATCAACTAGCAACATCTGTTTTATCTTCTCAAAATAACTATTGCCATTGCCAATCTATCTTGTATGATTATCAAAAGTATTGTGATATTTCTTTTATTTTTATAATTTGATGTCGGATTTGAAAGGAAAATAGAGATAGAGCAGTGAACCTAAACTGGATTTAAAATGACACTTGAACAAAATGCATGCATTCATATTCACTGCCAATCCCAGTCTTGAGCACATACTCAAGAAACATTGGTATAGGCCTACAACTTTTAGAGACAGTTTTTAAAGCCTATAATTTTTACTGTTTTTTTTCTAACAATTTAAAATGGATCCTAATGAAACATGTAACATAATAGATTTTTTTTGATATTTCCCCTTATGTTATATAAAGAGTAACAATATAGTTTTTAGGATTGATAAACTTTATATTAGTCTTGAGGATATTTTATACTGTAACTTCATATTTTTAGCAAACTATTACTTTTTAGTTTATCATTTAAGATCTATATATAGATCTAGTTTCTATTGGATCCCAAATATCTCAAAGATTATCACTGCTATAGTTTCATCAAACAATAAGGAAGGTATGGTCTCAAACAGTATTGTCATCTTTAAATTCACTGAAAAAATGATATTCCATCAGCGGATTAATTGCTGGTTACGTGTTAAGGTGTTGTTTACCGACAGGATTATATATGCTAGAGGCTAGAGCTGGAATAAAATATAGAGTTAATTGGCTAAAGTACCCTAAATCCCACCTATATTTAACGAATTAACCTTGATTTGACACTTGCCTTTCGTCGGACGATTTTGCCCTTCCGTGTTTCGGTAACCTACTCTCGTAGACTCACGCGCCTATGGGTAGCTGTGTCAGAGCGCCACCCACGCGTGATTTATTTCCCGTCAACCTTTTTGTTTTCCAGTAAAATCGAATGCATGCTTTTCTATTTCGAAATTTGAATTTCGTCATTAATTTCTGTAACTGTAAAAATTTATCCCACCACTCCGAATAGTAACCTCCCTCTCCAATTCAACTTCCCATCTTCCCACTACTTTCAATCTTGTATTTTAAACGGAAAAACTTCCGACTTTGTTCTTAAAAAACCTCCGATGGCCGATCTCAGCCTTCCTAGACGCTATTTTGCTTGTGGTGATGAACCAGTAGGCGACAGAGTCGTCTCTTACCACAAGTATCGAAGAACAGAGCAACTAATTGAAGCATTAGACGAAGACGAGTTAGCATTTTTCCACCGAACTCAATTCTCGATCGTCCTCTCTCTCTCTATGATAATCCTCCTTTCTCCGGTGCGTTCTGTCACTTTGTTTGTGTTCGTATGCTGAAGACCCGCAAGCTGTATGAGATTTGGCTTGTTTTTGCTGGATACCCAATAAGGATATCTCTTAGAGAGTTTGCAATCGTCACCGGCCTCAACTGTGATAGGGTTCCACAATCAAGGCGTAAGAAAAGGAAGAATCCTCTACACGAGAAGCTTTATTGGAATGACTTGTTTGGCTCGCTAAAGTCTTGTAGTGTGGAAACGGTGATTGATATGCTGAAGACAAGGAAGGTTAAGGATAAGGATACTCGTCTCAAAATCGCGTCTTTAGCAATAACCGCTTCTATTTTAGTCCCAACCTCTCACTCTCCGAAGATTCTCCCTGATCACGTTGAGATGATAAGAGATCTTGATGAGTTCCTCGCTCTCCCTTGGGGAAGGACTTCCTTCCAAAATCTTGCGAGTCACTTACTCCAGAAGGATGCGGTCTCACTAGCGCAAGATTCATTTGCCCTAAAGGGATATGTTGAAGCCATTCAACTGGTGCTTATCGCCGCTGTTCCTGATTTGAAAGAAGAGGTGGTTCACTCTGCTCCCGCTGTTGTTGCTCTTTCCGAAAGCGATGTTGAAATGGATGCGGAAGAGGAAGCACCGCATGTAGCCGAGCAAGGGGTTGCGGAGGATTTGCCATCTTCCCAGAAATTTATTGTCATCCCGCGCAATGCGAGAGAACTCAACTCAGAGTGCCAGGTTAGTGTCACCAAGAATGTTGTTACCGTTAAAAATAATTGTTACTGTTATAAAAATTATTAACCGCTAATACATTGAAAACGAATGCGTATTAATCTTTTTCTATTATGGTATAGTTTCTCATCCCTGTGTAAAATTTTAGTAATTAATCATCGTTTTATAAAGATAATGTGATAATCTCTCGTAAATTATTACTTTACCGGTAAATAAGGCTGTTATCTGTAAATGTCGCTCTTAACAAGTACAGAAGCACTTTTTGGATACATGCATTATTACCATTAAACATTTACGATAATTCTGTTATGTTTATGTAGGTCGCTGTTAGATCAATACTGAGCGACCCTGACGAGGAGTGGTATCTACAACATGACTTCTCATGGCCCGACGAAGAAGATGATCCCACCGTAGATAATATGGTGAAGCTCATCAACGAAGGGTTCCTATTTGATAACAAGATGTTCAAGGGAGGTATAACATCTAGCGAGCTTCAGAAGTTAAGGGGACATAAACAGAAGGGCAAACAGCCTAAACACAAACAAGTTCCCGCTGATATGGGTGATCAATCAGATGTTCCGCCGCCGGGCCAAGGTGCTGTTGATCCTATTGCCAACATCGTCTCATGGAAGATTCACGAAGAACTTGCCTCTGTGGAGTCTCGCATAGCTAAGGCCGTGGAGCAACAATTACAGTCAAAAATGAAGGCTATGGAGACAAGACTAACAAAATGTGTTGTAGACAACATCTATGCGATGAAAAAGGGGGTTATAAAGGCCATTATAGATTACCTGAAAAAGACAACATCTTCTACGCCTAGCATTTCAGACGTCCCACCACGCCATCCGCCAAACCCAGCAAGCCCTACGTTGAGTGGACATGGGGAAGCGAGTGACCAAGAAGGCGCTGAAGAGATGGCCGTTGACGATCCTCAACCTCTAGTAAACCAGTCCATCAGGCGCATTTTAGATGACCTTCAGGCATCATCACACAACCAAGAGGTTCGCGAAATTTTATCTTCAATTAATTACTTACTTTCTACCCCTTAACACATACCAATCACCCTATCATAACAGGCAAATGTAGACGGAAATGTCTCTCAGCAAGATGCCAACACAAAAGCCCCTCCAGAGCACGAGCGAACAGAGATTCTGAACACGGAGGTTATCTGCTAAACCCTCTGATAACTGTTAAAAAATATTTTTCCCGCAATTTAAACAATTTGCTGTGTTTACAAAATTGTATCTAGTCATTATTCTTAGATCATTTATCACGTAGGATGCTGGTAATATATCTCCCATCAACACTGAAGCCGAATCAACATCTGGGACCACAATCCCTGCTGTCACAACTGTTACATCCACGGTAATACTTATCCTCCACTTTGACAAAAGTTTTTTCACTAACATAAGTTCTAACTCCACCGCTAATACATGTTGATCCTTCTGGAAATGTCAATAATCAGTCACTCGGAGACCGCCCATCTATCGATCCCATTAATACAGAAGCCATCTCTGATAAGGTTTTGCGGAAAATATTTATTTTACGTTTACTTAATAGTTTACCGGTTAATAAATCAGTTAACATACAACAATTTTGTTATGTGGTATATCTGACCACTATACTGCTGATGTTTGCAGGAATTGGAGCGATGGTCAATGACTCTGGCGACTGTTGAGACGGCTCCTGGAACAAGTACCTCAGAAGCAGTACATGTAATGACTCATCTACTAATATTGTTATCCTGTTTTCACTTCTGATTGTATATGATCTTGCATTGTCATAGGGGGAATCATCTCAGCTGGATATTGAGCCTCCATCATTTTCTATTGGCCTCACCCAATTAGAGGTATCAGAGCGTGTTCTTCAGCCTGCTCCACTTACCGTTGTGCTTCCTCCCGCTGGGCAATCATCCGACACACTAGACACACTAAGAGCCCAACGACAAACAATCCCCCCATCTGCTTTACAAGACTATGAGCTGGACCCCAAGAGTAAGCCTGGATTCCGCGTCCTTCCCGACCTTCACAAATTGTTCGACCAGATGAGGCAGCGGATTTTACCCACGGGGTTAGTGTACTTCAACATTTTACTGGAAATATTCATCTTACCTGCAAACATTTTATTTATCCGATAATAAAACATTTAACCCTGTGTAATTATTTTCTAGGTTTATTCAGTTGGATGGTCCATCCGCTCTGACTGGTGCCGAGATTGTGGACATTGCTTTTAGGAAAAGTAGAATGTCTCCTCTGGTAACACTCAAACTTTTACTCCCATCTACATATGAAAGTATAGTCTTCTATATTAACATTATATTTATGCAGACTGTCAACACTATAATGCGCTTCCTGGCTGTTGAGCACGAAGTTCCCGGCAAGTCTATCAAAGTCTTCGACATGAGCCTCCCTACTGCTATGAAGAACATCTACCCAAAGTTCGTCAAGATGGGTGTCCAGTTGCGTCCGAAATTTAAGTTCACAGATGATGTGATTCTGCGTGTTCGAGGTAACCCGGCAGACTTTATCTATTTCCCCCTCTATATTGAGCCGTTACACTGGATAGCGGTGGTTAGCGCTGGGATTTTAAACCGACCCGAAGTTGCCGAACCGAACCGAACCAGAATTAAAGAAATTCGGTTTATACTCATTTAAAAGCTTAAACCGATCGGCAACATTTATAATTGTATTCGGTTATCGGTTATCTCGGTTCGGTTCGCTATAACCGAACGGTTAACCGAATTAGAAAAAAAAAAAAAACTCTATTAACGTTCGTTGAGCCACCCTAAACCTAATCTTCCCCATCTTTCATTCTCTCTTAATGGCGGATGTTTAAGCTCTTCGTTTCTTTGCAGCTCTTTTTTTGATTTCATCTTCTTTATCACAACATCTCTTTCTTGACTTCATCTTCCTCTCGTGCTTGTTTAACAGGTATACATCTAACTTGTCTTCCTCTAACTCTTTATCCTTTTCATTTCTCTGCCTTCTATATTGCTGACTTTTTATTTTCTTTAGTTTTGATGTTTTAACAACCTGACTGTTG